GGAATTAGACAATACAATAGGCAGAGTTTTTCAGGAAAATTCACTATCAGATTAAGAAACACTACATCATATTTGCGAACTAGAACGAACACAAATTTTACAATCACCTGCATTAGCAGTACTAAAATTACCGTATGCAGGATACCTATTATCAGGAAACATATCAAATTTTATCGACTATGGTTTTACACATGTGCTACAAAAGTATCACCATTATGTGTTTTCGAAGACAAACGATGTTATAAAAAAATCCCCATTTTCTATAAAAAAAGTACATTTTGTAGATACACCTTCCAGACCCGCATATTTTTAGGATACAACCGTAGCATGTGGATCTGAAAACAGCCACAATGTCGAACAGCTAAACCCAGATAAAGATGAATACTATCTCCTCACCCCATACCCTAATCTTATGCCACCATTAAGGAAATTTTCACGAGAATCCATCAGAGCTGTTGCCCGAAATCCGAATATTGATATCCATTTCATAGGTATATACTCACGATCGGACTTAAAATATCCATACACAACAGTTTCAAGAACTCCCAACGAAAATGGACACAATCCAAAGACAATCAATTTACCAAAATTTAAGAAAACTTGCCGAAACTGCAGGATATTTATTGACATTTACGCACAAGACTACTGCGGATACTTTAAGGATATAAAAGACTATAAACATTCAAACGGAGAAAAAAATCGCCCACAGGATATTTCTCCCATAATTATTTTTAGCTTCATTAATCTCAAAAATGAAATTCTTGCCTTTCTAGGATGGCGCTACTGCATCTTAGAAAGATTGACTATTTTATATGCAATGTTCAACTTGTTAGGATTCTTTTTCTCATTGCTAAAAGAAGTATATAACACATGCGCTATACGCATACAAGTAAACAAACAAGCAAGCGTAGCACGCATCTTGTTCGCAGAATTTTTTAAAATTTTTTTCAACCTCGGTTAATAAAATCCTTTTAGACGCTCAAATAAGCGAATACAATAAAAATTATTAACCACACTAAAAAAACAAACGACGATTCACAAGACAATACAACTAAAAACCCACGGCACCAAAATTACAAAAATTTTAAAATAACTATTTACTATCTCTAGTATCACGAAACTATAGACATACACCGATACCAGAGCATACTTTTTCAAGTCATAGCTACCCACAAAGCCCAGTTTTTCATATAGTAGTCTATCAACCAAACATAGACGACTCATATGACCAGATCATTGAACAGCCACTTACCACTAATCTCTGTTCTCAGAACAACCATCCTTTTAGCCAATGATGAGCCGCCAAGTTGGATCCCTGAATCGTTCCCTATCCTACCCATCCTTCAACGACATTCTTCCCGTATTTCCCTTTATCATCATTCACAACTAACTCACCACGCATGGATTCTGATGATTCCACAAACACTGTTTTTTTTACCATATCACCGTTTAACAATTCCGACATCGACATCGCGGACGAAATCCAGAACTCAGAGCCCAGCCGATCCACTTTTTCACAACCCCTCTTCCATTCTATTCCAATCCTCAGTTCGGAAGAAAAATTCGCAGCCCCTCCTCTTGCACAGATGCAACCGCAACCTACTCCCCCCTGACAAGCGACCCACCCGACCCTTCCAGCCCCGTCACAGAAGAACTTGAGTACGAGCTTGATAACTTCAAGTCCCTACAACAACAGCTTCAACACAATAACACACAACAATTCAAAATATAGCACAATTCATATCCTCCTCCAACCCAGCCTCCTCAGTAGAAGAAAACAGAGCCCACAGAGTATTTAAAAGAAAAAACCCAAACGCCCAAGCCCTTCACCACCCCCGACCACCCCGATTGTTTTCCCTACACCCACAACACACGAATACCAAAGACTTTCTCAGACATAACTTACCTTGTTTCCCACATTAAACTTATAACAACCGTAATGAAAGCCAACTGAATTACGTAGATGATTACAGCCTGTTCCCATCACTATCATTGTCATCTCACTATCATTTCACTAATCCCCTAGTACACCCTTTAGATAACAATCCAGAAGACAATGCACTTCGTCAATCCTGCTTACACAAATTAACCACCGCAAGGCATGAAATACAGTTCAGAACTATCGGACTAACACAAACACTCAATAAATCTGTTGCACAAAAAGGTAACAGATTTTCCATTAATGACTACGATCATGCTATTCCACGTTACATGGAAGACACTATCATTGAAAAAGACGAAGACACTAACCCCTAAATGACAGAGAAAATTTTTTATCGAATATGAATAAACATGTGTAGTTGATAGCATGAGCAAAAAATACGATATTTTTATTTCTACAGCACTAACCGACACAAAAAAGCTTGCAATTCCTATTATAATAAATGTAATCACTTTTCCCTCACTTTTCATTTCTTAACAACAAAAAAACGTGACCTACACTGTTCCCACGAAATAACGTTAGGCACTAAGCTAACTCACACATACAATTAATAATAATTTATTCAACATCACTACATAAATAACACACCAGCACGCAACCCACAACATAGATTCACCTTTATTATTTCTAAATATACATCACCATTTTTTCTCAACTTAACTTATTGTACTAAAAACACGAAAATTCACGGCATCCTCCGAAATAACGACCGAAAACGAAAAATTTATATATACTGCGCACTAACCAATTCATTTGACGTCGAAGAATCTCGCCCAATAATCATCTTCCAGGAATATATTAAGCCCATCGAAGTCCACATCCTGGAATGTGTTCACAAAGCTTAAAACAACCGTAAACTATATGATCGATTTTGCACTTACTAAAGAAGAACTAAATATCATCCGAGCACTTGAGCTTCTACGGCCCCTTCTCCAGACTAAAAATGCCATACGCATGCATGCTAAACTCTTAACAGCTTCAAACACTATTCACACTAAATTCCCAATTGGATTTTTGCCGACGACAGTCCCCTGTAGGTAGGTATAATTAAACATTTAACTTTTAAATTCAAAATATACTGACCATTCTACGAAGATGTTTCATTTTTCATTTTTAGATTTCACCAATCATCCATCTAAGACAAGAAAAAATCACTTAAAAATCTAGAAACTTCTTTCAATAAACCTTTTAAGTTTTTCTATAATTATTCAATTTTATATACCAAATGCATTGTATAATTTAAGCGGTAAATTTTAGATTTTCAAAAGCCGTATATTTGCAAAACTTTAAAGTTCAATTGCAGTAATTTAATAAAAAGAAAACCTAGTAAACTTAAAACAAAAACAAATAAATTGACAGTACTAACCTTTCATAAGACCTTTTTTTTGTATCTTTGAATTCCTTATAAGAACCTAAATCAAACACTTTTTCCATAATTGCACAAACTGGCCCACAAAAAATTATTTAAATAATGAATTTCAACCTTCAATTTTTCACTGATAACAACTCTAACTAGTTTTAACACGTCTCCAACTTTCCGTTAACCCGATTGGGAAAAATATAGTCTAACCAACGTAACTTACTAACGCTACCAAATCCAAAGCTAACAGCATGACTAAGAAAGAAAGTCCCGCTGTACCCAAACCAGATTAACATCAGATTAAACTGGATAAAATATTTTTTTGGAAACCACTTTCAAGTTTTTTTAAAACAAAATGAAAAACAAAAACTCGAAAGACGACCCCAAAACATAGGAGTCTTTTTTGGAAAAAGGACACAATCAAAGCAAAAAAGAGAAAAACACGTAACAAAATGTCACAAAAGGTTCAACACATGAAGAGACTCTGCACAAAGAGACTATAAAATTGTAGCCCATTCCTGGCCTCACCCACCAGAGGGACGTCCTGAGCATGCTCTATATTCGGCCTAACCCACCGCGCTGCCACCACGCTTTGTGAAACCCTTCATATTTTTGCCGAGTGTTACTCTAGGGTGAGCGATTCTTTCAAATAACCGATCTAAATCAAAAACGCTTTTGCGAAAATAACTAATAACAAATCATAACTAAAAGACTTAACTAACAAGATGTAAATGTAAATATATAATGCACTATAAAAAGATTTCCTAGAGGCCCCGGAACGAGCAGCAAAGAAGATGACACCCAGACATTCCAACCCTGGAATGGCAAATCGGAATGGTTTGTAGCCTTAGTCACAATCCTCAAAGATTTTAAGCATGGAACCAACATCGCAGCAAAGAAAACCCATTGAAACAGACCAATGGCCATCTCGATGTTGACTTCACATACCGATCCTAGTCACTTGGCACTTCAAACAGAAAAATCAATTTTCACTCTGCACGTAGTCTCGCTCTAAACTTAATAAATCAATACATCATTGTATCAATCAGAAGTCTTGACACTCACCTAAGACTACCCACGATCAACGAGACCCACTTCAAAACACAAACGAAAACAAACCTCTTCCATCTAACACAAACAACTACACCTCTCCCTTCTTCACGAAGTCACTGCTCACAACTTCAGAAGAAAACAACATCATCTGTCCAACATTACAATAAACAATTGAACCTAAAAACTCTCTGAACCCCGGATGAGTGTAATCAATTATAAACTAGAATTTGTAATTGGTTATAAAATTTATTTCCCTATTCCTATAAAATATTAATACTAACCAATCATATTCAATTCCTAAAAATGACACTTATCTGTAAGTGCTTGAAATACTTGTTGTTTCAGCACCAGAACAATTTAAATAAAACTTAGACTACAGTTGTTCTCCTTCTGGATATAGCTCCAAGAACTAATACGCAAAAACCAGTATACACTAGATCTATTGAGACTAGGAGATATAAGAGTAAGGTTAAGATCGGTATTAGACTAAGAAGTTGCACGAATCTGTCCGGCCGAATATATAAGATAGCGTGACGAGCAGACGGTGTACCCTATCTGAAAATACTCTATGAGTATAAACAAAATGTCTTAACTCACTACATCATTTTTGTATTCTGAGTGTAATTGACCTGGGTTGTGTTTTAGCACCCCCTCAACCGAATGTGACTTGGGAGAGTTATGAGACGAGTGTAACAGTAACATTGCACAATCCTCCTCATCAGTTCGACGAATGGCACCTGAAGATCACTGGCTTTCTTAACAGAAATTTTAGAGGTTCCTATGACAAATGGGTTAAATTAAACTCATCTCAGACTACCTGCACATTCGATAGACTCGCTTACGGAGTGAGTTCTATTATTTATGTATCGTTGACAACAGGCGGAGATGGATTTACAGATTGTGGTCCAATGCGACAATCATCATCCCCCCGTTCTAGTTTTTACGTTTCAGCTGGGTGCAACAGTAAGTGTCCAACTTTTGATTGAACCATTTAAGAGCGACTTTTTAATAAAAGCGACTTTCCGCATCAGTATCGTAATTCCTTAGTTCCTAGAGGACTTTCAAATATCTGCTCTCTCGTCGTATTTTTTTATTTTGGCTATAGTAATTTTTCTTTGCCTAAAAACAAAACTTGTTTGAGAAAATGCAATTGTCTTGTTAATTTTCCAATTTTGAGTAACGCATTTCCTATGAAGTAATTGGTGAGTATTTCTGCGTTTCAATCCAAGCGTTGTAAGTTTTTTTTTCCTTAAAAATTATAGGGTCCATTTTTACGAAATTTACTGCTACCAAAATTCTACAGCATGTTCATTTCATTAACGATTTCTCTCCACGCTTCAACCAGATCTATTAATTGGTAACAAGGTACTGTTAAGCAATCAAAATCAGAAGATGCTCGTTCAAATAGCTCAATCTGATTTTTGATGGCTCCTGAAACAAGCATTTGAACAAAATTTTTGATGGCGAATGGCTTGTTTTCCATTTGCTTGGATTGATTTGTTTTGAGATTGCTATCAAGAGTCGATGAACGTAGTTCATACTCTTATGAAGATTGCGAGGACTTTGTTTTAAATTTTGTTAAGGCTCAAACTTACTTTTGCGCGCATTGGTATTTGATTTTTCAAAATCCAGTTCATTTCTTTTGTTGAAAGGAAGCCAAAGTCCAGTATCGAACATCAAAAAAGTATGGAGTCACGGAAAATGTGATCGACTTCTATTTTCGAAAATGGAATTAAATTTTCAGATTTCCATGGTAATATATTTTTTTCGTACCTTGACCCAGTTTTCTCAGCTGAGTTAGGTGTATCGAACTATATATATATCATGATTCGTTTTTAAAACTTCAAAGAGCTATTAGGTCACCTTTTTTTGTCTTCTTCGAATTTCGATTCGAAAGTTGAGATTTGTTTTAGATTAAACAGTCAGAATTTTTTTGCTTACTTGCGTTCATTGACTCTTTTCCAACTGTTTGTTGGCTATGTTTATGGTATTTTATATTTTTCGCTTTTTTAAAAGAAAAAAGTCTGTTGTTTTTATGACCCACATTATTTGCCAAAATTTGCAATGTTTTTGGACGTCAAAAGATGCGATGGTTCTACTTGAAAAATCTATGGTTGGCTCTCGTTAGTTGCCGAAAATTTGCAACATTTTCGGCCATCAAGAAGTGCGTTGAATCCATAAGGATCAAATTGGGGCGAACATCTGCTTCGGTTCAATCACATCAGTAAAAATAGAAAACTGGTGTTTTCCAAAACTTTTTCTTCAAATTTTTGGGCAGAATACCCGAAACTTTTTTGGTGGATCGCCTATCCTGGGGCTATATTCTTGGAAAAAAGGGTTCGTTACTTTTATTAAATAAATTTTTTGGACAGGTTTGAAACGTCTCTACTGATCACTGAACAAAATGATTTTCTTATGCATAAAATCCACTGTCATATAAATGCCTACAATTTTAGATACGCCTAAGTTGGAAAATTAGAGCAAACGTTTTGGTCACAATTTAGCCGTTCTTTCAATATTTTTTGCTCAGACTTTTGAGAGCAGCTCACTACCCATGATACATAATATTTTTTTTCTTCGGCTCCGTCTATTGATTGCTTTTAGATAAACGTGCTGCAAATTTTAGGGATCAAATACCTGGTTTACCCCTTTACCTAGTTTCCGCCTTGAAGACCAACTCTTTGAGCAAACTGTTATTTTCATGATAAACTTTTGCATTCAAAAAAAATTTGTTTTCCACTTTCTTTTCTTTTTGAACAAGGTAGATCAGTTTTAGATTTGCGTACAGACTTGTCATCAGTGATTGCCACTTTTTCTATTGAAAAAAAAAACTTTAAAAAAAATTTAAGTCTTTCACTTCAGAACACACACGTTCACAAAACTTTTTTCGCTCATCTAATGACGCAACAAAATTCTGCTGAGCTGTGGTAAAATGATTCAAGTGTTTTCAACAGAAAAAAAACACGAAAAAGAGAAAAGTTAAATGAGATTTCCAAAATTCGAATCGGTAAAAATTTTTATCATATAAAATTAAAATTTTAAAAAGCCAGGTGTTTAAAAAGCTAACAACAAGCTCAAAACAAACGTCTGTTGCTCCAGAAATGCCCATTAGAGGCATGAGTCTAGCAGATTAGTCCTGTGAAAAAAAGTTGTTTACGGGAAAAAAAGTCCAGTAGCCAATAGCAATACCCTTGCTGGTCGAAAGGGTTATATCAGTAAAAAATCGAGTAGATTTTAAGTAGAGGTCAATTTGCCTGATAATAATGTTTTTGAGAAAACAAAACAATTTTTGTTTTCATGACCGGTATGATGAGCAATTTTTTTTAATTTCTGAATTTTGTTTGGCATGAAAAGTTCCTGCTCAGACATTTTTGGCTTTGTTATCGCTTAGTAACTTTTGTTCCGAAACTGATTTTGCATTTTGTTATCTGGGCATGTTTTTTTCCCAGCTATCTACTTTCCTTTTCGATAGATCTAATTTTAACGCAAGTGGTGCGAAACTCAGCTTTGCCTCTGCGTCCTCATCTTATCTCTAGAGTAGTTTTTAATAAAGAAGTTCAACAACGTAGCCATCAAAATTGAGTCAAAATGGTGACAAAAACATCGGTTATTACTTAATTTTTTGTTGTCCATGCATAACCAGATAAAGTAACTAACCATCGGAATGAGTAGGATGATATATCATATCAAAGCCATTGACTCAAAGCCAAGTGTCCCAGTATTGACAAAAACTAGGAGCTTGGCTAGTAACTAACAGTTTGGCGTAGTAATGAAGTTGTGATATCCTTTGAGTTTTAATGGGTGAACTTATGCTTTTCTGAAATGCCAACAATATATGCTTTAGAATTAAAAACGACTCCTCGTTTATCAGCGTGAGGCGACAGTTCGTACCAAGTGTCAATTCGTAGCAAGCGAAAATTGGCAGCACGATTAATTACTAATTGGGGTGATTACTAAACGACGCGAATTAGGGTTGTGGGGGATTAAAATCAAGGAAGCGATCAAATTTCATAAATAAGCACCAGATTTGAAAAGTAAAGAGCAATACTACCGGGTCTATGGACATTTGAAAGAAATCAATCCAGGACTTAATTCCTCGCAGATTGTGGTAGATTTTGATATGGCTTCAATATTGCCTCTCAAAAGGTGTTGAATGGAGTAACTATAAAAAATGCTTATTTGATTTTGCTCAGGCCAACTGGGACAATTTTTAAGAGATCGGATCAGCACCAGTTTATCGAGAAAAAAACGCCCATTTTTCGAAAGTAATTGATTGCTCTGGCACTAAAACCTGAGCTCGACTTCGGAATCGGCATGCCAGTTTTATGTTAATAAGTTTCCGAAAAATATGGTTTGTCTCCTAACTGGATTACATCGATTGTTTTGAATAAACTGGGGTTGGAACCATCCTCCGAGGACGCTGGGGAGTTGGAAATTTCCCTATCGCACTCTGGAATTAGTTCGAAAACGTCAAAAATAGAAGACAAAAACTAATAATTCGGTCGAGGGATGGCATAGGCTCTTACAGATAGGGATGGGGTTTGCTCACCCTATCATTAAAAAAGTTATCCTATTCCTGAAAAAAGAACAAATTATGTCGGAGAACAAATTGATGAGAGTAACTGCCGGAGAAAGTGCCGCCCAGGTGGCAAAATACGAAAAATGCCAAAAAAGATTAGTCGAATTGCTTAAATTTTAAAGCAAAAGCAATGTTTTTTTTAAACAATTTAGGGGCCTCTAATTCAATTTTGATTTTTAGTTCCTTCGTTCTTCAATTTTTTATTTTCATCTAATTTCTTTTGATCTGATCAAAGCTTTTATCGCTACTAATTGTCGCTTGCTACGAGTCGTCGCATGCTGCGAATAGTCACTTTTTCAAATGCTACGAGTAGGCAATTGGGATGAGCTGTCGCTATGCCGTATATCAATGCGAAGCCATGAATGTTATTGCACAATTTTAGATCCATTAAAAATCTGACGATATACTTGCAAAAAATTAAAATGAAAGTTTTTTTAAAATTTTTTTCTTCAATATATCCCCCACAAGCTAACTAGAAAGGGATGTGACGAGCGTCTTGCAACGTAATAATAAGAGCAATTTTCAAGCCTATAAGAGCAATTACGCAAGATCTCCAATTTATCCAAAATAGCAATTTTCAAACTCCCATCTTTACGAAAAATATTGAGTTTAAGTAAGCCAGCCGAAGTATAATACAACCAAAAAATTACGTCAAATGAATCAGATTTGTATAATCAAATCGGCATAGTCAGTAATCAGATTTGTTTCAAAACTCTCGCACTCAGTAAAAAAAAAAGAAAAAAGTAGATTATGATGTGTTTTTCTTTTCAGTCTCCATAAATTTCAAAAAAAATGAATATTATCGTTTGAAAATGGATTCTAATGTTACTATTTTTCAAAACAATCAAACTCATTTTAATCAACCATTATAAAGGATTAAAATTCATTTTTATCCAACAAAGGTCATTGCATCATTTTGTTTTATTTTTGTTTTGTTTTGTGTGCTTTTCAGAAGGTTACCGAACTAAAAGAAACTGTAATATTGTACTTATAGCCAGGGGAGGATTTAAGGGGGGGGGGGAAGTCTCCCCTCGGGGATTCGATCCCCTGCCGACCCATAGATATCCATTTCTGGTGACTAACCCTAAAATTTTTCTGAAGTCGCCTTCGGCGCCAATATAAACTACAATGGAGGGGGGAGCACGCCAAAAATGCGAATTTCTAAAAAATGCCTAAAATCGCCTTTTTTTTCAAAATTTTGCCTGCGGCTCAACAATTTTGGCCAAAACAAGGTCTATTTGGTGCTTTGACAGAGCTCGGAAAACCAATTTGGATCGACCTAAAAAAAGGACCACACGATTTTTGATTTTTTTTTGGAAATCCGCAACCCCCTCGAGAAAAAGCTAGTTCCGCCCCTGTTTATAGCGCACATTTAAAATAACTATGATTTTTATGGTGTTTTCATGCAGAAACGTTAATTATAAATCATTATAATTAATTTTTTTATGAGATATAATTTTGATAGAAGAATGGATTATAATTAATTCATAACTATTTATTGGAAAATTTATAACTATTTATAATAGGTTACAATTTATTAAAATGTCACCGAAATGTTATCTTTATAATGGATTATAAATCGTTCAAACATTCAAAATAGGCGCTTATAATTAATATTAATTTAGCTGAAAGTACGATTATAATTATCATATAATCGATGCGAGCTATTACATAACAATTAAGTTTTGTCGGCTGAATTATATGGGAAACGGTTTTTCTCTTCGTTTGGTTTACATACCACCAAATAATAAGAGGTGAAACATCTTTTTTAATTTAAGCTCCAGAAACTACAGTGCTGATTTAAATTAACCGGACAAAACACGTTCAACTTGAAATTTTAAACGCGTTTTTCTCAAATTGGGTTGAGTTTAGGTGAAAACTTATGACGACAAAACTTGCTTAAAATTTTAGCAGAATTAATATGGTGTTATTTGTTTTGCGAAATTCGGGCCCAAAAATTTACCCCAAAAATGGGTCATTTTGATTTTTCTTAGTTAATAGAAAATTACGCCAAAAATACCCGGTCGATCACACACACATTTATATCAAAGTGAGCCCCTTACGTAGTCCAACAAACTTTAAAATGGGTATTTTCTCCAAGACATTGTATAAATTAATTTATTTTTGCTTGATAGACAAAAAAGGTCGTTTTTACTATATAAAATACTAACTTTTTATTTAAAAACATTTTTTAAACGGTTTGCAGTTTTTTTTGGAGAGCATACCCTTCTTAAAGTTTGTTGGAATACGTAAGAGGCTCACTTTGATATAATTATGTCTGTGATCGACCGCGTAATTTTGGCGTAATTTTCTATTAACTAAGAAAAACCAAAATGAGCAAGTTTTCTCTTCATAAGCAAGTTTTCTCTTCATAAGTTTTCACCTAAACTCAACCCAATTTGAGAAAAACGCGTTTTAAATTTCAAGTTTAACGCTTTCATCCGGTTAATTTAAATCAGCACTGTATATCTTTCAGATAGTATAAAGAGTTTGACTGAATGAAAAACAACCACCCCGGTCACAAATGAATATTCCGCTCTTTTTCTCAAAGTTGATCTTATTGGCTACGACGAACATTTTGATATAGTTTAAATTAGAATCAATGATTTGAAAGAACTGTTTCCCGAGTCGAGGTTTTTCACCTAATTTGAAGCAAGTTTTGAGCGGTTTGAGCGGTTTTTTTTAGACAATTACGCTCAAAATCTTGCTTCAAAATGAGCGATTTGAGCGGTTTTTGAACGGTTTATCTAAAAAACCGCTCAAAAACCGAGCAAGATTTGAAAGGTTTTGAGCGGTTTATCTAAAAAACCCGCGCAAGATTTGAGCGGTTTTTGAGCGGTTTTTTTAGATAAACCGCTCAAAACCGTTCAAATCTTGCGCGGTTTTTGAGCGGTTTTTTCAGATAAACCGTTCAAAAACCGCTCAAACCGCTCATTTTGAAGCTAGATTTTGAGCGTAATTGTCTAAAAAACCACTCAAACCGCTCAAATCTTTCATATTTTCCAGTGGTTATTTTGCTCGAGCATTTGAAAAAAGTCGCTCATTGTTTTTGGTCAAGACAACGAAAAAAATATTGCTTGATTTGAGAACGGTTAAGCACTCTTTTTAAATTGTAGATAGTATTTCAACTGCATCTTAGCGTGGGTTGACCAAAAATGCTTATCCTACAATTTCCATATATGAAAAAAACGTGTCCTACTATTTCCTACAGTTTCATAGACTCAGAAAATTGTTTAAAAAACTCTAGGATAAACGTTTTTCCATAATTTTGATGCAGGCAATTGTATGATAAGCTTTTTTGGTGTGGGGAAAATCAAAATAAGCATTTTCGGTTTATGGAGGTCAACCCGGGGTCACATTACCTTTCCAGGCCTTTTTGTTGGTTTTAAACTGTTTTCTTTATAAGACCGCTCAAAAACCGCTTAAAAACCGCTTAAAAACCGCTCACATCTTGCTTGAGAAACCGTTCAAAAATCACCGCAAGAAATGAGCGGTTTTTGAGCGGTTTTTTAGGCAAGATTTGAGCGGTTTGAGCGGTTTTTCCAAAAAACCGCCCAAACCGCTCAAATCTTGCTGAAAAACCGCTCAAACCGCTCATATCTTGATCGGTTTTTGAGCGGGATCTCGACCCGGGTTTTGATGGTTTATACATCATCACTGAGGCAGTTTAATTTTTATTCGTGGCTCCTTTTGCATAGTCATGTTATGATATCTTTTTTCCCGTCACCACACTCAGTTTTGCAGTACATTTACATTAAAACTGAGAGTCCTCATAAATGTCCCAGGAAAATTAATTTTGTGGTTTTAAACTCTTTCTAGGACCACCCGTTGTATCACATCAAATCGAGGCAAAAAGCCCCTGGAAGATATCATTCATCTTCATCAGTTTTGGCCTTTCCTACCTCGACAGGTATTTAATCGTCTCTTCCAGCTCTTCACTTACCAATCCAATAAAGAAAGAAGAGCTGTTAATGCACTATGGTTACCCCATTGAAATTGATGGCCTTGATCCAGGAACTGAGTACTATCTACACTTCACTCAGTTGGTTCAGTTCTGTCCCAGCGGAGATCGGGTGTTCAGTTATACGACTTCAGTCTGCACAAGTAAGATGAATCATTTTGAAAAAATCACATCTTAGTTTGAAAGAAAGAAGTGATTGACCAATTTTCTATGCTCTGTTTATTGTTTTATTGTAGTTTTTCTAATGATTTTTTTTAAAAATTAATTTCGAGCCCTTTTGATGAAGTCTCTAGAAAATCTGAATTAATAAAATTAATCGAACGCCTCTCAAGGATTCGACCTCTGCCGCTCCAAAGGGTCCTCCTTTGTACTAGTTTGGCATATCCACTTTTGGTGGCTGACGGACCCTAAAGTTTCTTAAAGGCGCTGTCATCCGTCTCGGATTGATAAATTTATCATATTTGATTTGTACCTTTTATGTTAAACTCACTGTGCTAGATATCTTGTTATGTGGTCGGTTGACCTTGATAGGCATTAGACATATGTTGTTCTTGAGCTGTAGCTCAGTTGTCAATAAAAGTTGCCTTTCAACTAGTTGTTTTTATATCGCCTTGTTTAGAACTCTCGGTTTCTCAATCCGTTCGGATCCAAAAAGTAGGACGTTCATACGCAGATTTATGACATGGCGCAGTCAGCAGGATACTCGAAAAGCCCGTTGAATATTGACCTAATTTGGGAGAAGGCGTCAGCTGAACCACCATTAGAGTGGACTAAAGGGGCAGCAATACTAGAGATGACAGTATTCGCTAAAGACGGAATTGAGGTACGAAACCTGCTAAGAACTAAACCGTCATTAGTTGAACCTTCAGAGTCTATTTACGAGGTCGAAATAACGGGAGAAATGGAAGCACAGAGGAAGAATCGGGATGTTCGAAATCAGGAGAAGCGAGTTGGTTGGGAAAACCACGTGATAAAGCCCGAGAGAAAGGAGTACTTTGTAATTCATTTCGTTGGGATGAAGCAGATGAAAAATCACGCAGTTATCTTTTTCTATACCTGGGGGCCGAGGGGCAACGACAGGACTAACGAGAGAGACCAAGTTTGAATTTACCGACAATTACTACGAAAGATCTCATGACAACTATAGAAGAAATTTCCGTCACAACTAAATATGCAATACGCCGGGAAAAAGGTTTTGAACACATTTGCACAATGACAATAAACCCATTCGGAGGGCAAACAGCAACGACAAAACACGAACCAGAACATTACATAAATACACGTGGCCGCAATTACTACACTAACAATCAAAGTTCCAGAGATGTCGGGGTAGATTCCATGAAACACAAAATGCAAGAGGACAGCAACAACGGAACACAACATTCAACACCCATAAACAAGTCTAAAAAAGTGGCAATCAATACGGTCGAAATAATAAACAAACATTCCCAGCAAAAAAATAAATTTTTTTCAAAATGTGCCAAGCCTAGCCATTTCGCAAAAGTCCGTCGATCTGCGAATATTACCTACGTGGTTGATTGAAACGAGGAGCAACAAGAGGAAATTGAGGCTGAAAATCTAGAAACCGATAACGACCCAGTTGCATTCGCAGAGTATACATCAAAAAAGATTTTGAAATGATTATCAAATCAATAAGTTTTCGGTCATGGCACTTGCTGAAGCATTTGATATTAAGTACACGGTTAATTGGTCTGAAGATGACCTAAACGGTCACATCGTAAAACTAAAAAGAATAAGTATTCGCTATCGCTGACTCTGGAAGTCCGATGTCATTTTTGAATGAGAAAACCGCGCGGCGGTTACAACAGAACGACAAGTCAGCTCTATTCAAATGTATTCAACCACAGGACACCGCCAGAAACTTAGCGTGCTAGAATCGTGAAACAAAATCTCCCAAAGGAAGACTTATCATAACAGTTGAATCAGGAGGCTGGAAAATTCAAGCAGCCGCTTTCATTATTGTGGATGGTGAAAAAGCAATTATTATAGGGAGAAACATACTACCTTAAGCATAAGCATGTTGCACAGGGATAAAACTCCACAATAGAGATAGGTATAAAACCGATTCAATAAAATTAAAAACGATTCAATATGCAGAATATACGTGAATCAGAAGAATGGGACTCGGATATCAAACAATGGGTTGGAGATAGTTTTCAGCAATTTTGCGTACTTATTGGAAAATCAAAAAGCCACGTAATGAGAACCCAATTTAAAAAAGACGTAAGCCCAATTAAACAAAAAGGTCGACGCATCCCGTTGCAGCTACAGCAACGGGTTGAAGCAGAACTAAGCAAACTCATTGATCAAAAACATATTTTCAAATCAGGTAAAGGTTCGGACCGACAATTAATTAGACCGATTGTATCAACCGTCCAAAAGGATCAAACAGCTAAACTGGCCTTAGATTCCAAGAAACTAATTAAATTCAATCATAATAACAAATACCAGATGCCCACTTTAGATTTGCTACGGGGTAACATCACGCATGTAGTCAAATTGGACAATTCCAAACAAACACTATTTTTAACGCTAGATTTACGATATGCATACTCACAAAAGCCTTTGGATAAATCAACTAGAGAACCATAAAAATTAGTCTTATTGACGGCAACTCTACCGGGACATACAAATTCAAACAGGATGATATGGTCTCACGGACATGCAAGCCGAGTTTCAGAAGGAAATCGGTCTAACACTTACCAATTGTACAAATACTTACACTTATCTGGATGACATAATGATAGTAACAAAAGGACCAAAATTTAGATCGAGCAGTTTTAGCAAAAATTAAACTCTAGATCGAGCAAAAATTAAACTCTAAGCAGTTTTGACAAAAATAGATGAGGAAAACCTGGCGATATCCTTGGATAATGGTAAGTTTGCATGTGAAGTGAGTGGCTAGGGTATACCATCAATAGTGAGGGAACTAAACCACTCATAAAAAAACGGAGGCTGTTGAAAAATTATTGCCACCAAAACTTATAAAACAATGTCAAAGTTTGATGGGCTCCATGGATCAGCTCACACAGTATATATCAAAATTAGCACAAACAGCAGCTGCATTTCGTCCATCGTTGAAAAATACAGAAAAAAAAACTAAACCGATTGACTGGAAACCAGAACACAATACAGCATTTGACAACATCTTGAAGTTAGTCTCTGAAATAACTCAAAATGAACATTTTGAACAACAACTAGACACTCTCATTGTTTGCATGAGTCTACGTCAGGTTTAGTGGCCTCCTTGAAACAAAATTTACCGGAAGGATGGGTTGTGATAGCCTATGCTTCACGTTTCTTGAATTCCTTGAGTCAAAACACTCAGTGAAGGAACTAGAATTACTCGGGGTAGTTTGGGCCATCAAAAATTTTGAATACTGTCTTTATGGAAAGCTTTTTACCGTCATTACAGACCATCAAATTTTGATCAGCGCTTTAAATTCGAGCGTAAGATCAAAAACTAGTAGGGTAGACTAACACGCTGGATCGACCGACTTATCCCATTTCACTTTGACCTTAAGCGTCTGGCGGGGGAAAAATGAGATTAATAGGATATAAGTCACCAAATCCATTTCGATTGGCAATAACCCCCAGCGAGTATGATGAGGAATTCGTTGTCGCATCAATTAATGCATTCATAAACAATCTCGAGTCGATTGACAATGGCGTTCCTAAGAATCTAGCCAATCAAAACAGAGCACCGTGTCAGCTGATCAAAAAGCGCGCGAAAAACAAAGGGTTTTCCAATAGCATTTCAAACGCTCATATAATATCTCAACGTTCCACGCATTGCGAAAGCGGTGAATTGAAACCTCGCGGACAAATTCAGTTTGACTCAAAATCAACAAGAATTCTGTCAATTCAGTTGCATTCATTTAAAAAAGTTGAAACACTGTCAAATTGCAAGATCTCTCTAGACACAATCAGTCAAAACACAACGATGAGCTCAAACCAGAAACAAAAATTTTAAGGGAGGATAATAACAAAAGGAGCCATAGAGTTACATCGACAAAACTCCAAGCATTCCTGAAAAAATTGGATGAGGAAAACCTCGCGTTATCCGTGGATAAAATTTAACGCATGTAAGCAAGTTTCGCGGCTAAGGCATACATACCATCAATAGTGAGGGAACCAAACCACGCATAAAAAAACGGAGGCTACCGAAAAATTATCTCCACCAAAAACTTTTTAATCAATTAAAATTTTTTGGGCTCCATACATCACCTCACACGGTATATACCAAACTAGCACAAACAGCAGCTGCATTACGCCCATTGTTGGAAAATTCAGAAAAAAAACCGATTGTCTTGAAACCAGACCACAATACAGCATTTCACAACAACTTGAAGTTAGTCTCTGGAAACACTAATAACCAACATTTTGACCAGCACATTGACACTCGCATTGTATGCGACGCGTCTACGTCAGTTTAAGGGGCCTCATTGGGACAAATTCAGCGGAAAGTTGGGATGCCATAGCCAAGCGTCACATTTCTTAAATTCCCTTGAGGAAAAATTCTGAGTAACTGAACTAGAATTACCCGGGGTAGTTTGGGCCATCGAACATTTCAAATGGATTTGGTAGAATTAGCTTCGAGAGCCGATTGTGGCGATCGAGAAGACGAGTGGGTAAAAAACATGTTCACCGCACACACGCACAACAATAAAATTGCCGAAAAATTATTAGCACAAACGCAAAGCCCACCAGATGCATATGATTATGCAATACGTCGGGGAAAAGATTTTAAACACAGTCGCACAATGAATTTAAACCCATTTTGAGTGCAAATGGCAACGACAAAACAAGAACCAGTACAGTATATAAACACGGGTGGCCGCAATGATTACACTAACAACCAAAGTTCACAGAGAGGTCGGTGTGGATTCCGTTGGTACACAAAATACAAGAGGACAGCAACAACGGAACACAACCTTCAACACCCAAAAACAAGGCTCAAATGTGGCAATCAACACTGTCAAAATCATATGAAGTCATGCCCAGCAAAGTATAAAATGAGTTCAAAATTTACCAAGCGAGGCCACTGCAAAACTCAGTCGATCTGCGAATGTTGACAACATGGGTGTTCGAAACGAAGAACAGCAAGAGGAAATTGAGACTG